ATGTTAAATAAAATAGCGAATAGAAAACATAGACCCTATAAGCATGTTTTCTACCCTTTATGCAAGAACAAAGTACATCCATTTCCCAATTTTACTATATCCCTAATTATTCATTATTACAAGTTACTACAACCCAAATTGAATAATGCGAACCAAATATGACAGAAATATAGACTGAAACAAGTACGGTCCTCCATCAAACAGTGCATTCCCACTATAAAATAACCCAGCAAATTTCTGGGCCTTTAGCAACCTTACCAACTAACAGACCCAAATCTCAGGCTCATAAGGACAGTAGAATCTTCTTGAATCCAGTACCCAGGTCCAACAACACATATGGCCCAACACCAGGCCCAACGAATAACTTGCTTAGCCAAATGTATGCCAAACCTAACCATGCAGATGGTAGACCACTCGCAGGATTAATGTAAACAACTTTTCACACTTAACTCCTAAAGTTGTAACTAACAACAGTTCTAACCAAAGCACATAGACAAGATCACATGAAATACTGACAAGTCTACAAGGCAGGTTCATGCTTGTATTCTCAGAAACAAAGCTAAAGGGTCACTATTCCCAAAAGTTTCAAAAGTAAAATGATTCAGAATTAGCCTAAAAGACTTTAGCCACATGAAAGTCTAATAGAGTTAAATAGAGCATTTCATTCACACGAAAGTTTTAACATGAAGATCTAGTGAAAACAACACAGGTTCATGATCGAGAAATTACTTAACAAGATAAAGTTATCATGCTAAACATTAATCACAGTATAAGAGACAATATCAAACTTCAACAGTAGGAGAAGCAAGCATCAATTGTAATACTATTTGGCCATGTGTAGTGGAAAAAGGGCAGTTGTAAGATTTATTCCTAAGGAGGTCTTGACTGGTACTAAGGAATGCAGGATTAAGCAAGTCAGAAAACACACAATAGAATCACAAATGCATAATAACACGTCCTTATAAACAACAGGACGTGAAGAGTAACAAGTTAAACATGGACTAAATTAATTCTTGAGCATGAGTTTGGTTGACATAACAATCCAGGACATCGTAGGAAAGCGAACTCTAGATTGACAACAATCATCAGCATAACCTAGCAGGCTAAACATGTTTAGTAGGGCCAAAATTCTCAATAGGCAAAGACACATTAAGAACTAGATTGTCATATAAAGGCTGGATATTTTCCTTTCACCTATGAGTATATTTAAACAACACAGGATTGAACTAAGCATGGAACACACAATAAGGCTCACAATTGGCTGACATCACAGTTAAGAATTGGTCGCAGTAGAGCATCAGATACATTAAAACACATGAATTGGTCTATCATAAAGATGCAGATCACAGTAGGGGATAAACACAGGGAGAGTAGTATGTAATAAGCATTCAAACACATATTAGTGTAAACATGCTTAAGAGAGTCAAAAATCATTCATACTGAACACATGTACTAGACAAATGTCAAAGCTGGTAATTGTAGACAAGTTCAAATGCGAGAAAAGAGTTCAGAGTCACAAAATAGCTTTAGAGCCAATAAGGTTGCAAACATAGATGGCATAGGAACATATTCATTCACAAAAGTCTTAGTAGCATAAATATACTGAATATGAACACAAACGAAAGAGGATGAACTGCTAAGGTCAAAGAACTCACCAGCTATCAGTTGACAAACAAATAAATAGGTAGAATAGTCTCAGCGGTACTTCAAACGTCAATAGAAAGCAGCGGAACCTAAAATAATCTTAGTGCGTCAGAGTTCTCAAGGGTTTCAGATGAACCCCGGATAGTGCTCGCACTAAGAAAGGATCATCTAGTCGAATTTCGGTGGTCTTGGCTTTTAGCCGGCCAAGAGCCAAAGTTCAGAACAATATAGAATGAGAGAATAAGAGAGTAATAGTGGTAAATTTTAGTGACCAAGCCCCCTAAAGGGAATTAGGAGAGGGGTTTATATAGTAGCAAATTTAAATACACAAACAAGGAAAACAATCAATTAAACATAAAAAGGGAAAGAATAGCATGTAGAAACGATTAGAATCAATTTAAGAGGAATCAAGCAAGCCCTAGTTTGAAATAAAGAACAAAAAATAGTAAAAATCTCACTGAATCGGACCCATAAGGCCTGGTAGTGAGTGTATCAGGTCAGAAACATGAAGATAATACAGATTCAAAGTTGAACGAACACCAATGACTCAGTTTCCATAAATAATCGAGTACCAAATACTTGTAACGTTTAATAGATGATAAGCGTCTCCGTGTGTTCAAGAAAGGAAAGGAATCATGAAAGATTTTCATGTGATTATCGGATTGGGACTGGGATTTGAGTGGGGGTGGCTAGGGTTTGCATAAGAGAGGAGAAGGTTCAAGAGAGTATAAAGGCGGCTGGTAGTATGGGAATGAGATTAGGGTTTGGGGTGAGCTTGGTTAATTAAAGAGAGGGATTGTTTATGGGCCGTTGATCATTTGAGATCAACGACCAAGATTAAAAGAGAGATGGGGCGGGTCATAAAACAGGTATTGATCAGGTATAAAAAGGGTCGTTTGGTTGGGCTGCTGAAGGCAAAATGAAGCGGGCCAAATATTTTTTGGGCCAATTTTTTGTCTGAAATTCATTTTAAAGCTTTGCCATAATTTAAATACACGAAAGTTTATCAAAAATAATTTATAAAAAGTAATTAATACATAAAAAATATTATTTATGTAGTAAAGTGTTTGAAAATAATAGCTTAATATTATAAAAATGTAAAAATACTATTTGGCACAAATAATGTAATTATGCATAGCATATAGGCTATTATTGTAAAATTATGTAAATAACTTAAAAATACAAATATACTTATATGAAAAAATAAAGTAAAAAATTATGAAACATATATGTGGATGAAAATAATGAATTTTGATTATTGAGTCCTCATAAAATGATTTGAAGAGGTAATTAATACATATTTAAATAATCTAAATGCAAGAAAAAATTAATTTTAAAGCTTTAATAATTATGAAAAATTATAAATAATTCTTATATGACCCCTGTAAATTGGTGATGATGCAGGAATGATATTTTAAAAACATATATGACTTTTATTAAAACATGAGGGTGAAATTGGGTATCAATATATTCAGTACAAAAATATCTTTTATCTTTAATATACACTAAGTATACTAGAACAAGAAGTCAGAGTAAAACCACTCCCATAATCAAGACAAATTATACTTTAATCTTGCGCTACAATCCTCAAGATATTTTGCCCAATAATATCTTCGATTGTGAACATAGTTTATTAATTATGAGAACCGACAATTTAATCTTTTGTGCATGAGCTAAGACTCCATACACTAAATTGTCTACTACATAACTAAAGGACACACATGTAACAGAGTACTTTATTGAATTGAATAAGTCAAATAAATAATTGTTCCATAAAGAATAAAACACAATACTATGTCCAAACCGCATGGTTAATAGTATATCCTAACAATCTCCCACTTAGACTCATAACCATGGGTCTACAACTCTAATACCCATTCCTTCTACATGCTTGTCAAAACTCTTCTGTGTCAAGCTCTTGGCAAACGGGTCTGCCAAATTATCCTCTGACGCAATCTTTAACACTCTTGCATCACCCCTCTGAATTATGTCCCGAATTAAATGATATTTACGCTCAATATGTTTACTCATTTTATGGCTTCTTGGTTCCTTCGAGTTTGCAACTACACCACTATGGTCACAATAAAGTACAATTGGTGCTTGAACCGAAGGAACTACATTAAGCTCTTTTAGAAAGTTCGTGAGCCAAACAACCTCTTTAGTTGCCTCAGATGCAGCCACATATTCGGCTTCCATGGTGGAATCAACAACACATGATTGCTTTATACTCCTCCAACTTATGGCTCCACCTCCTAAGGTAAAAACATATCTTGAGGTAGATTTTCTAGAATCTCTATCTGACTGGAAATCGGAATCAGTATAGCCAATGGGTACAAGATCACCTGAGTGATAAACCAACATATAATCCCTAGTCCTTTTCAGGTACTTGATTATATGTTTAACAACAGTCCAGTGTTCTCGTCCAGGATTAGACTGAAATCTTCTAACCATGCCAACAGAAAAGCAGATATCGGGTCTAGTACATAACATAACATACATGAGACTCCCTACAGCAAAAGCATAAGGGACCTCCTTCAAAGGGAGACAGAGAGATTCCATGCCTAAAAGGGAGAAAACCTTTCTTGGAATCTTACATGCTAAACCCGGTGACAATAGTATCAATATAAAGTGCTTGGGATAAGCCTAATATCCTTCGCTTGCGATCTCGCATAAGCATGATCCCAAGGATATGTGCCGTTTGTCCCAAGTCTTTCATATCAAAACGCGAGGACAACCATTCTTTTACTGAATTCAACATGCTCACATTATTTCCTATGAGCAAAATATCATCTACATACAAAACCAAAAATGTAACTTTATGTCCATCCCACTTCTTATAGACACAAGACTCGTTTTCACATTGATCAAAATCGAAGGTTTTAATCGATGTGTCAAAACAAGTATTCCATGCTCTAAAAGCTTGTTTCAATCCATAAATGGATTTTTTAATTTATACAACATGTGCTCATTGCTACTTTTTATGAAACCAACTGCTTGTTCCATATAGATGCACTCATCAAGACTTCCATTAAGAAAAGCCGTCTTGACATCCATTTGCCAAATCTCATAATCGTAATGAGCAGCAATGGATAAGAGAATCCTAATGGATTTAAGCATGGCTATTGGCGAAAACGTTTCCTCATAATTGATCCCCTTTTTTGAGTAAACTCTTTTGCAACAAGCCTAACTTTAAAAGTTTGCACTTTTCCATCCACTCCTCTCTTTTTCTTATAGATCCATATACAACCAATGGGTTTGACTCTAGTAGGTGGTTCTATAAGATCCCAGACTTGATTGGAGTACATGGACTCCATTTCAGATTTCATAGCAACAACCCATTTATCAGCATCTGTATCCTATAGTGCTTCGTCGTAATTAAGAGGTTCTGTATTAGGCTCTTCAGGGATTCTATCATAAGATTCTCCCAAGAGCGCAAACCGGAGAGGTTTTTTAATAATTCTCTCACTACGACTAGTCACTACAGGTGTAGTTAGATTTTGCTGTTGAATCACAACATCATTTTCCAGAACTAAAGCCTCAATATTATTCTCCACACCTTGTGGTGCTGGGATATCATTAACTTCTTCCTGAAGTGTAGGTTGCACAACAATTTCAGTTTGCTCAACAATATGAGATTGCTCAACATTACTCCCACTTCTTTGGGGTAGTGAAATGACATGCACTTGCTCTTGTGCATTCTGCGGCTTATTGACATTTCTCCCACTACAATAATGCAGTGGTATGTCAATACTGGCTTCCGGGATACGTTCCAGAGATGAGTCATTAGTTATTCCATTACTTAGTTCCTGTAAAACTAGTTTACTTCTAGGAATATAGTTTATTAAATAGTCCTCTTCTAAAAATCTGGCATTTGCCGTAACAATTATCTTCTTTTCTTTGGGACAATAAAATAAACCTCCTTTAGTTCCTTTTGGATATCCAATAAAAATGCATACTTCTTTTCTCGATTCTAATTTATCCGCTTTTCTTTTCAGCACATTTGCTGGACAACCCCAAACCCGAATGTGTCATAAACTTTGATTGCGCACAGTCCACAATTCTGCTGGGGGTAAAGGTACTGACTTAGAAAGAACCAAATTTAAAATGTAATTTGCTGTTTCTACCCATAATTTCAGAATTGAAATACTAATTAAAAAGGTCACGTTTTTGACATAGAATAACCATACAAAATAGCATTGTATTATGTATGTTAATCTACTGTTTTCATAGAATAATCATACCAAACATGTATCATTTAACAACACGTTTTAATATTACTCTATTCATGTTGCATTACATTATCTAGTTAGATGTAAGGCGGCGTCTGATACCAATTGTTAGAACATGCGCAGCGGAAGCAAGCATACAAACTAGGCATCACAAACATGTAAACTGGATAATGATATAATTACGAGATTAGAACCACTAACCTCTTGAAAACGATGCACAAATCCTCCTCAGAGCAAGAATCCAGGGCTGCAGTCTTCTACTATGGTCCTAGTAAGACCTTGGACGAAAATACTTTTGGGTGGGCAAGAACAATATAACTCTTAAAAGTAAGTTATTGGGTGAAAAACGTCTTCCTGATGTAGACTCGTTTTTCAGCCAAAAGAGGGCTCCAAAAACGTGTAGGATTCTGCTTGTGCAAGTTGAATCCTACTCTAACTCTCAAGGATGACTTTTCTCCCAAGTCACTTTTTACCCAAGTCAATCCAGATTTTTACTAGGTATAGTAGGGACCACATAAACAATAAGAGGCTACCAATTATAGCATTAATTCGAAAATTTGCATGAATTAATTCTTACTATAATTAATTGCAGTTTATTTCACTAAAAACTGCAATTGAACTCCTCAATATGAATTTCAAAAATTCACTAACACTTATTTTAACTCCCCATGTTAAGATCACAAATACCAATTAATGAAATTAAATCAGTAATAATTTAATTTAATCAACTAATTAAATCCTTTATAATTCCGCTTAAACTATTTCATGTGACTGATACCAAATCCATCGGCCGGGTTTTTACATGAAAACTTATAAGCTTACATAAAGGGGTATCATCCAACTCAAAACCGAGTCATAGATTCTATCAACTAATTATTATTTCACAAATGATATTCGTTATTGTCCAATCTATTAGGCATACACTAACTCTGAATAGAGTTGTACCTTTTGATAAATCAAAATAATAAACAAATTACACTGATCATAATAATTATATCAAGATTAGGAGTATAAACTCATTTAATAAAATAGAGAAAATGTTTTATATATATTCAGTACAAAAACATCTTTTCTCTACTTGGTCCGTTCAATATACACTAAGTATAGAAGTCGAAGTAAAACTACTCTCATAATCAAGACAAATTATTCATTAATCTTGCGCTACAATCATCAAGATATTTTGCTCAATAATATCTTCAATTATGAACATAGTTTATTAATTATGAGAACCGATTATTTAATCTTCTGTGCATGAGCTAAGACTCCATACACTAAATTGTCTACTACATAATTAAAAGACACACATGTAACAAATGATCTATTTAAAATAGTACTTTATTGAATTGAATAAGTAAAATAAATAATTATTCCATAAAGAATAAAACACAATACTATGTCTAAATCGCACTGTTAATAGTATATCCTAATACTTTGGACTTCTGAAAATGTTAGTATATAGTTTCATTTCATCATTATTATCAAGTCTTAAAAAATTAGCATTTTTGGACCAAAACCAAAGAATCTCACTAGTCTATTCTCCCCAATAAAACCAGTCGTTGTTTTCTTTAGGATTTAGCATTTGAACAAAAAACACTGATTTTTGTTGGCATTTATTTTGGTGTTCCTTTGATCATTAATTCTCAATTATTCGCATTTGAAATTCGTTAGAGTTCATAAAATAATGCATTTACTTGCAGAACAATGTGTGCACATGCGTTGTATCGTTATTGATAGTGACATAAAATAGCATGATCACTAGAGTGTACCAAAGTCAGATTTAAGATTTAAATTTATAAAATTCGCAGAATGTGTGAGTGTAACAATATGATCCGAAAATTGAATCTCTTTCCTAGGAGTATTATACTTCGCAAATCAGGCAAAACCTACTGTCTTATTTTTTACTTTTTTTTTGTGGTTGAAAAAAAAAATCTTCTAGTGTAGACTGAAATACAAAATTACTTTAGGCTAGTATTTATTTTGAATCCCCTAATTATAGTGTAAAATTCACAAACCTAATGAGCAAGGGAGAAGCCAATGGTTTTTGATCATTTATGACGAGACTTTCATTGAAAGTTGAGATGGGGTAAGTGTAAAGAGTCAATTATTGCCCTACTTTTATTATTGAAGAATTAATCCAAATAATCGATCACTTAATCTCTTAAACTAAAAATGATATATATATATATATATATATATATATNTAGAAGAATAACCCTGATATACTCCTAAAAAGAGGATTCTCGCTCTACTGAATCGAAAGAACGACTCTTGCGTAACAAAGGTGTGACTCTAAAAATAAATAAATAAATAAACTAAAAGAGCGATCAGTGATATGAGTAAACGTTACAAATGATTAGCTTGGCTACTTATATTCCTATATATGAGAAGTGGTGTCTGATTAATATAATGTGATATCATTATTATTGGATTTAGTCTAATTTTGGAGGTCATTGTCATTCAGGTTCATGTAATGTTCTTGGATTATAATATAATATAATATAGAGATATGCCCTCCACCATAAATTAAAAATAAAAATAAAAATTAGAAGATTGAAATTCTCAACTACTATGATTTAGTAAATTGTATTTTCATTGCCAATTTTTTCATGGGGGGTGATTATCCTCAGAAAGGGATTTCTTGTATTTTATATGCACTTGCATTTTCCTTAATTTCATTGTGTTAATCAACAATGTTAAGAAATAATGTAATTTGCCACGATATGTCCACTAAAAATGCTTAATGTTAGTACATGTTATAGTAATTAGCTTATCGATGAAGAATTACCATTAAACAAAAGATTTGATAATATACAACAAAAACTCATAAAGGCAGTTCGATAGACTAAGATTTTACTGTACGTGAGGTCTGGGAAGGTTCGGACTATATTAAGTCTATTATACACATTTTTACTTTGTATTTTTGAAATGGACGGTTTCTTGCAACTTGAACATGTGACCTCCTAATTACACACAACGATAATATTTACCTTTGTGTTAACAATCCACTTCACATTATCACATATAATAAAAATCCTAGCTAGTTTAAAATCCAAAGTGTAATGATCCAATCGGTCATTTTAACTTTTAGAATACCGTTCCCTAAAATAAAACTTCGCGAATGTGCTTTTATTGATTTATGACTTGCGGGGATGGTTGGTTCGGAATTTAGAAGTGTTCGGGTTAAATCGGAACACTTGGTTCCTTAAGTTAGCCTTAAAAGGCAAAGTTTGACTTTGGTCAATATTTTGAGCAAACGGACTCGGATCAGTATTTTGACAATCTTGGTAGGTCCGTATCGTGATTTGAGACTTGAGTGTATGCCCGAAATCAAATTCCAATGTCCCTAGCCCGAGATATGGAATTTTGATGAAACCATTAAAATATTTAAGTTCAAATAGTGACCGGATATCGAATTATATGCAAACAACCCCGGAATAGAATTTTGATGATTCCAGCAGCTCTGTATGGTGATTTTGGACTTAGGAGCGTGATCGAAATTTTATTTGGAAGTCCGTAATGAAATTAGGCTTGAAATGGCTAAAACAAGAATTTAAATTTGAAAGTTTGACCGGGGAGTTGACTTTTTGATATCGGGGTCGGATTCCGATTTCGGAAGTTGGAGTAGTTCCGAAATGTCAATTATGAATTATGTGCAAAATTTGAGGTCAATCGGACTTGATTTGATAGATTTCGGCATCGGATGTGGGAGTTAGAAGTTCAATAGTTTATTAGGCTTGAATCGATGCACAATTCATGGTTTCGATATTGTTTGATGCGATTTGAGGTCTCGAGCAAGTTCGTGTTGTGTTTTGGGATAGGTTGGTGTAATTAGACGGGGTCCCGGGGACCTCGAATGTGTTTTGGGGTAGTTTCGGATCGAATTTGGATGAAAAGCTGCTGCTGGTTTATTGGTTCTGGTTTTGTTCTTCGCGAATGCGAAGGGAGTCCCGCGTCCACGAAGAAGAAAAATGGTGGCTGCTATCTTGTGCTTCGCGAACATGATCAGTGGGTCGCGAACGCGAAGAGGAGTTTTGAGGCCGCTGGGTTTTTGGCCTTCGCGAACGAGAGGTGTAGTTCGCGAACGCGGAGGGATTGACTGAGAAAACTACGCGAACGCAAAGGGTCAATCATGAACGCGTAGAAGAAAGAAGGAGACGAGCCTAAGGCTATTTGGCCTACGCGAACGCGATGGCTTGAACGCGAACGCGATGCCTTGCATGGACAGGCCTTCGCGAACGCAACAATGGTCACGCGAACGCGAAGGGGAAATACTGGGGCAGGAACATTTGGCCTTCGCGAACGCGAGGCATTTGTCGCGAACGCGAAGAAGAACGGTTCTGGGCATTGTTCTGTTAAAGACCGGGGTTGGACTCATTTTCATTCCATTTCTTCATTGCAGCCGATTTTGGGGACGATTTTTGAGCACCCTTTCCACCATCAACCATGAGGTAAGTGATTCCTACTAGTTGCGAGTTAAATACAAGGTCTATACAT